GCATACTTTGCTCGGTAGAGGTAAATCACAGGCACGTTGCCGACTCCCCCGCATTTTTGCGTATCCACTGCATGTTACCGAGATTGTACACGATCTTGTTGGAGCGAATGCTGATGTCATGTCACGAATTCTCGGAAAATGCCCTCCTTTTGATCCACTGATGATGTACCGATATGTTCAACATGGCTGCTTGGAAAAAACTAAAAGCTTCGTGGTCCGTGGTTTGATTTGATACATTTACACATGGTCCTTTACCAGCCACCAACACACTGCGACTTATATCCTCATCGAATTTGAGCACAATGCATCCGCTCGAGACACTCAAAGTTGGCGTCGTGGGTATCGGCCGAATAGGCCGTCAACATGCCCTCAATGTCGTCCATCACACCCCCCGCGCGACCCTTGTATGTGTGTGTTCTCCAGCAGAAGCCGACCTAGTCTGGGGTAAGGAGGTCCTAGCTCCATACGGGGTCCAAGTTTTTGCTACCTTTGAGGAGATGATTGAAACAGCTGGCTTGCAAGCTGTGATCATCGCGTCCATTTCCTCTCTTCATATGACCCACACGCTCGCAGCTCTGGACCGGGGCATTCACGTGTTATGCGAGAAGCCAGTATGCACATCTATTTCAGAGGTGAGGTTATCCGCACAAGTCTCAAGATTGAGAGATGAACTAACGCAAGACTGAAGTTGAGGGATTTGATAGCCCGTATCGAGTCGAAGCCACAAGCTCAATGTATGGTTGGCTTCGTGCGTCGATTCGATGAAAGCTATCGCGAAGCTAGCTTGAAGATCAAGCAGGGAGATATTGGTGCACCTACCGTGATTCGCTCGCAAGGCTGCGAAAAGGTTGATACTAGTCCGTTCTACAAGGGGTACTTGCGTAGCTCTGGGGGCATTTTTGTTGATGCAATCATCCATGATATCGACCTATCCTTGCTCTTCTTTGGAGAGGACTCGCTTCCAAAGTCTGTCGCTGCAATGGGTACCGCAACTGTCCATACCGAGCTAGCTGAACTGGGCGATGCAGATAATGCAGTTGGCATTTGCGAGTTCTGGGATGGGAAGATTGCCTTTTTCTATAACTCAAGAATGGCAGCACATGGCTATGACAACATGACTGAAGTATTTGGAACCAAGGGAAAGATCTCGATCAACCTGGTTCCTCGGAAACATCGACTTGAGATTTGCGATGGTGATGGTTATGTCAAGGTGGAGCCTACTCCATCATGGTATGATCGCTACGAGGATGCTTTCAAGATAGAGATGAATGAATGGGTCAATGCAGTGCTTGATGGTCAGCCTATGCCTATCCCGCTCAAGTCCTCTTTGATGGGTTTGATTATTGCTAGTGCACTACAGGAGAGTTTAGCAACCGGCCGGAAGATTTACTTTGATGAGCAGGGCGCACGGGCAGTTGAGTAGATAAATAGACTCGAATCCATGAATGATCAAGGCTATTCTAGCTAAGTGAGTGGTGTTTTGTACAATGCGTTAAATTGAAAAGACCGCTGTTGCCATTTCCTTCCATCTGATGGCTTCTAAGCCGCAAGCTACACAACGAATATTGCGGTTTCAAAATAATTTACCACACTCACACACTAATAAAGCTGTGGGAATATGCGTGTCCCAAATTGATAAGAAAACTGAAAGCATGGTCATCAGAACATAAAGAAGAAGAAATTCTTCACTAATTCTTTTAATTCGTAGCAAGACATTCTTGTTGTTGGGCTCTAAGGGCCGCAGCCACGGTCACGGCGGAACGTCAGCTGGTTATAAGCTGATGCGTCGTTAAAGATCATTCCTCTCATGAGAATAATAAACCATTATGCTTTGTACTTTTCAAAAAGACACGCATATAATCGTTCGTCCGAACACTTAATTCCTCTTCATCACTTTAGAAATCTGGCCGAGTTAAACTTGCGATATCATTATGCCGCTTTTCGGGGTTGCCACCATCTCCACTAAAGGCTTAGGGCAGTGGACATGGGTCACTTGAACTGCATATAGCCGCTCTCCATCGGATTCCATTTTCCTTGTTCAATTTTGTGGAGCTACTCTATCGGAACTTCTTGGTGGTTGCAGACAGCCACTAACGTTAACCTGGATATGGCTATGTCTAAAATGATATTGCCGTGGTCGTGGACAGTAAACTATAACAACCAGTCGCTACGTATGTTAGTTAGCCATGACTTGAGCCATAAGAATAGTTGATTACGACTTCATTGCAGGTATATGGCTTAATTTCACCACTCATAACTATTCTGATCAACAGTCCACATATCTCGATCGTCTCACTCCATTAACATGTCTAAAGGCATAGCATCAAAGGTCAACGGGGCTCCCAAACCCATCACAACAGATGATCAAGCTGCAGTACTTGCGATTCGCAATCTTGTCCTTGACATTTGTGCGCAAAACGGTGGTGGCCATGGTGGCTCAGCCCTTGGAATGGCCGCTATTGGCGTGGCATTGTGGAAATATGTCATGAGATACAACCCAGCTGATCCAGATTGGATCGATCGTGATCGGTTCGTTCTATCAAATGGTAAGCTCGTCTCCAATCTAAACTATACATGTGTGCATCAAACTGACAAGAAAACAGGCCATGCAAGCATGTTCCTCTATGTGATGAACTATTTGACAGGATATGATGCTTGGAGTGTAGATGAGTTGAAGGGCTATGGAAGTGCCAAAGAGAATGGCTTCCACACTCTAAGTCATGCTCACCCTGAGATCCAGGTGCCTGGAATTGAGGTTACCACTGGTCCTTTGGGTCAGGGCATCGCAAACGCGGTGGGCTTGGCAATTGCTTCTAAAAACATGGCCGCCAATTTCAATAAGTCCGATTGTGATCTCATCCAGTCTACTGTCTGGTGCATGACGGGCGATGGGTGTTTAATGGAGGGTGTTGCACTGGAAGGTGAGCTGCCAGTCTTGAACCACGCTAGATTGCCTTACTGAACATACGTTAGCTATCTCTCTCGCCGGCCACCTACAGCTCGATAACCTTGTTCTTCTTTATGACAACAACAACGTAACCTGTGATGGCCCCTTGGGCTGGATCAACACTGAAGATATTAACCAAAAAATGCGATCCCAAGGGTGGCAAGTCCTAGACGTCGAGGATGGCTGCTATGACGTCGACTCCATTGTTTCGGCTCTGCGACTGGCAAAGTCGTACTCAGGAAAGCCAGTCTTTATCAACATCAGAACAGTCATTGGTGTCGGCACCGCGGCAGCTGGTACCTACAAAGCCCACCACGGGTCTGTAGATGCTGAAAGTATCGCAAAATCGAAGATTGAAGCTGGGCTAGACCCAAAGTCAACTCACGAGGTTCCTCAAGCAGCACTTGATTTCTTCCGAGAGCGCAAAACGCATGGCACCAAGCTGCAGCAACAATGGACCGACCTTCTCGAGAGTTACACTCAGCGGTATCCGGAAGATGCGGCAAAGTTCAACACTCGCCTTATACCCAACATCGATACTGGAATCGAGTATCTCAAGAATCTGGACAGCAAACAGTTTGATGGCACAGCTACACGCGAAAGCAACGGTGCCATTCTGGAGCATCTCTGGACTGATGTGCCTTCTATGTGTGGCGGTGGTGCAGATCTTGTCAACAGTAACAAGATCACATACTCAACAGAGGATGTGTTTTTACCCGAGTTTGGTCATAAGGGTCGCTACATTCGAAACGGCATCCGCGAACATGCCATGGCTTCCATTGCAAATGGCCTAGCAGCATACGCACCTGGTGTATTTAGACCGATTACAGCCACCTTTTTCATGTTCTATATCTACGTGAGTTATCCTACTGAGCCCTCTGCTTCTTGCTGCGAGGCCAGACTACAGACACTAGTCATTTGTTACAATGTCATTTTGGCTGACACTCTATACTAGGCTGCACCAGGTGTGAGAATGGGAGCGCTGAGCGATCTACCTGTTATTCATATTGCAACACACGACTCATTCCGTAAGTTACACAACAACTATCAACTTGCTGGATACTAACAATTGTTCAGAGGAGGGTCAAAATGGGCCTACGCATCAGCCAGTCGAGGTTGACTCACTATACCGAGCCATGCCTAACCTCACCTACATCCGGCCATGCAATGCAGAAGAGCTTATTGGGGCGTGGATGCTAGCATTGCAGAGCAACAAGCAACCCACCATGCTTTCTGTTGGTAGAGATCCCACAGGTCCCGTGCCAAACACAGACCGTAAACAGGTTTGTCGCGGAGCTTATGTCATTCATGAACCGGCCGACTACGCCTTGACCCTTGTCAGTTGCGGAACAAATCTTCACTATGCTGTAGCAGCAGGCGAATCTTTGACCAAGCAAGGCATACCCACACGTATCGTCAGTGCACCAAGCCTAGACCTTTTCCAAGTTCAGGACGACGAGTACAAGCAGAAGGTGTTTCCTCGGGACAGAAAGCCTGTCATCAGTGTTGAAGAATACGTTGCTACCGTCTGGGCACGGTATGTGACTGCCAGTATTGGTATGACAACGTATGGATACTCTGCTTCTAATCAGAGTAATTATGAGCGGTTCGGGCTCAATGCGGCGGGTATTGAGAGAAAGGTGAAGGGTTATCTGGCATACTTGAAGGATGTGTCGCTGTCTGCTCGAGAAGTAGGCTGGAGACAGCTATAGAATAGGCTATATCTCGTTTTACCACATAAGTTGAAGGTCGTTCATGGACTACATGCTATTATTAAACTTGCTTTCCTTGTACTATGTCGTGAGTAATGTGTTTGAACGTGATCGGTCGTGGTATCAAGCAGGTTGAAAGATCCTCAACTACACTGTATCTCAATATCTCGACAGATCGCCACTTGATAACGCACAAGAGTTCTTGGTACTGAGACCCTAACACTTCCTGAAGTATCAACCTGGCGTTTCAATACAAGGCGGCAACCTTGATGTGCATTAATTTAGCTAGTCACTTCTCTGCAATATATATTGACACATATGAACGTCTCCGCCAACGGATTGGGGAGATGGCGCAATTGGTAGCGCGTTAGATTCCAGCGAAGTTCCTTCGAGAGGCGATTCCTAAAGGTTATCGGTTCAAGTCCGGTTTTCCTCAGTTGCTTTTTTACCAACCCTATCAAGTGTTAAAAGGCCTGCCGCTTCATTGTGTAATAAAACAATCGTACATTTTTAGATGAGTGACCTTGATAATCTCTTCGAGATATCGAATGAAGTTTTTATTTTATATACATGTGTGTTAGTTTTCTATGACTACCTTGACCACCAGTTTCCCATTATCATCTTCTGTTCGTGCTGCTGTTGTGAACGCTTCAGGTACAGCCTTCAGTCCCTTAAAGGAATGTGTGATCAACTTCTTGAGAGAAGGGATGTCACCGCCCTCATCGGACCTTTGCATGATTCTCAAGCCTTCGGGGTAAGTATTCGCATAACGCCACACACCGACAAGATCGACCTCGCGGAGCGACGCAGCACCAATAGGAAGGGTTTGAATAGGTGTGCCCATTCCTACCAAAAGGACCTTACCTCCTCCTCGAGTAGCCTAGACAAATATGTTAGAGTGTTCTAGGTAAGTTCAAGTCAATACTCTGCTGGATAACTCACGTAAATTGCCGTCCGAACACAGCTCTCAACACCCGTGCATTCAAAAGTTCTAGAGAACTTTACTCCTTTGTTGACTGCCACCAGTGCCTCTGCATCATCCTTTGCCGTGGCCAATCCTTCCACCACACCGGTGGGGCGCGGCCTCATCTCGAGTAGATGGATAGAATCAGCAAATCCGTTAGCGAGGGCGAAGTCTAGACGGTTCTGAGCAATATCCGCCATGACTACATTGCTATATCCCGCGTCCTTGGCCACAGCGGCGCAGAGCAGGCCAACAGCTCCGGCACCGATGATCAGGCAAGACTTTCCAGGCTTGGCGGCTGCTTTTCGAACAGCGTGAACAGCGACGGCGAGGGGCTCCAGAAGTGCGCCTTGAGCGTAGGAGAGGCTATCGGGTAGTCTGCCGAGGTAAAGGTTAGTACGTCAGAAGTTCAATTCGCCTATTCGGAAAGCATGTTCCGTACCGATGAACCCATTTGGCGGGATGATTAAACCTCTCTTGTAAGGTGCCTTGGTAATGAGGGTTTGCCGTCGCACTGCTTCGAAACCTCATCTTTTCACAGACGTTGTATGCGCCTTCACGACACTCATCGCATTCATCACAAGGAACCCCGACTTCCAATGCGACTCTGTCCCCTACTTTGAGTCCATACTCTGACTCGACATCGGGACCGATATCAACAACGAGCCCAGCACATTCATGGCCCTGCGAAAGTGGCTCCTTGATGTGTATATCTCCATTGCGGTAGTATGTGTAGTAGTGAAGGTCGGAACCGCATAATGTGGTAGCTTTCATCTCGATCTGAACTTCATGTTTCTCTGGGAGGGGGAGAGGTCGTTCGGTCTATGACGATACGAAGAAGAGACAAGTTAGAATAATTGATCCAGATGTTATGTACAGAGGTGTATAAACGCACCAGACGGAGATCCTTGGGCCCGTACAAGACTTGGGCCAGGGTTTGAGCTGCGGGGGCATTCTCGTTGTTGATGACGCACATGTTGACTGATGAGAAAAGAATTTAGGCAGGACAATAGTATGTTAGTCACCGTACACTCAGTCTTCTCATGGCATTCAGTTATATGAGGGCGCTTGTTCTATATCAGTTTAAGCATTATCATCATCATATACCAGAACATGGGACGCAAAAAACACTAGCAGTGGGTTCTTGGGATCAACGTTAGCCTACATCGTCGGAAAACAAAGACCCGACATAGCCACCCCGCATATGACACAAACGCAATCATGACCTACGCCTATTCCCCGCGCATGTGGGGTTGTAAGGATCACACTCCAGACCTCAAAGCGCAACGAAGCTGTCATCACTGCTAGTCTCGATGCGAGATGCTAGCCTATGCGGTTACTTGTCATGTAACCGACATACATTGACATAGCCGAACCCTTCCTCTAACCAATAATGCTGGGCCCTTCCCAGCTCGGAGCATTTTCTCCATACACTAATGCTATCTCAATATCCAACGGCTTCTTACATTGGCAGTGAGAGCTCACTAACATAAAAGCATCCATGTCAAGCTGAGGTTGTAACAATTGAATAGAGTCTGTCAACTTCTCGCTTGCCCAAATCCATCTCGGTAGAATTGCATCAGCATTCTAACTAAGTTGATATTCCGCAATCTAATTTCCATTCCATCTCAATCAAAACTACTATGCCTTCTGCGACACAGCCTGAGCAAGTCACTGCGCTTCGCTTTCATAAAAGAGGCGATATCCGACTCGAGCAGCTTGAAGCACCGTACGTATAAAAAGCTACCCGAGCCATGCAACGGGGAACGAAGGAATAACAATCATGCGTTAGACCATGTGGCCCTGAAGAAGTGCGTGTTAAGGTCGCCTATAGCGGCATCTGTGGTACCGATGTCACAGAGTACATTGGCGGACCTATCTTCCCTCCCCAAGAGGGCTGCTGCAATCCTCACACTGGTGTCACTCTACCGATTGTTATGGGTCACGAGTTCTCTGGTGTTATCACCGAAGTTGGCTCCAGTGTCAACCACTTGACGGTCGATCAAGCTGTAGTCATCAGCCCCGCCTACGATCATCGTCACTATGGAACCGAGTTTTGCGGGCCTTGCAAGAATGAGAGATTTAACATCTGCGACGCTTCGGCCACAGTAGGCCTTAACGCGCCTGGAGGCGGGTTCTGCAATGAGACCGTGGTAAAGGCCATGAATTGCATTCCCCTTCCTCCCAGCGTAAGCCTCAAAGCTGCTGCGTTGATTGAGCCTCTAGCCATTGCCCGACACTCCATCACCACGTCGGGCTTTGAGAAGGGACAGTCTGTTCTGATTTGTGGCGCGGGGCCTATTGGTCTTGCCATCCTTCTGTTGCTTCGTGTTCTGGGTGCCTCCAAGGTCATAGTCACCGAGGTACTAGACTCAAGAATACAGCAGGCCCGAGACTTTGGCGCCGACGTGGTCATCAACCCAATGAAAACCACCGAGACGCTTGGTCTGTCAGCAGAAGAAGCCATTCAAAGTCATGTCAAGGGTGGAGTCGACATAGCGTATGACTGTATCGGATTTCAGTCGACATTAGATCTCAGTATCGCCAGCGTGAGACCAGCAGGCATGATCTTCAATGTTGCCATCCACAAGAAGCCGCTTAGTCTCAATCTCAACGACCTGTCGATGAAGGAAAAGAAACTAATGGGAGGAATTTGTTTCTTCAGAGAGGATTTCGAGGTTGTGATTGACTTGTTGGCTCAAGGCAATCTCAATGCAGAGCAAATGATAACGTCGATCATTCCATTGTCAAACATCATCAAGGGAGGGTTCGATGAACTGCTGCATAATCGGGAGGCTCACTGTAAGATTCTTATCAAGCCTTAGAGGATAGGCATATAGCGTAACAAGCAATGATAACGCTCAAATTAATACTCAAGTGGAGTTTCGGGGATCTAGCTACGAAGGTAGGTATGTTGACATAAACCCTTGATCTCAGGGTAGCGTTGCAGTACACAGCAGTAGCAGGAAAGCTATGAACGTATCGCATCCTTTGATTTATCGGCCATACTCATTGTGAATCTATAGGAGTGCTTGGGAGACAATATCTATCCTTTGCAAGCGAGCGATATCGTTTCAAGAGATCTGTGCGTCTAAGACGCCACTGATCCATGTACTGAAAGTGTGAAGCCAGAGCATTCCCCTGTATCACAACAGCTGTGCATTATTATTAATCTTGACCTGATAGTGGTGAGTTCAAGGTTGACTTACGACGACGCAGCTGTTTGGGAAGGTTAAGAACGATCATGTCCTCGTCACCTTGGCCTGGGGTCCAGCTATCGATATCTGTATCCAAGATATCATCGGCGTAAACACACATAAAGTTGATCCGAATACGGTCCTCGTGCATAATCCAGGGCTTGTCGAACTTGTAAAGGTCTAACTGATTAGTCTCAATATTCTCAAGCAGTGAGTAATGCTGCTGAGCTGCGATGGACCAATCTTCGTAGCTAGTTCCCCAAACCTCATACTTGAGCCTGTGAGCAGGCGTCTGGGCCATCATTCTTTCGTCTTGAACTCTAAGCCATCTGTGATGGTTAAAGGGCGGATCGTTTCCGGCGTCCCAGGTAAAAGTGCCCGGACCATCCCAATAGCCATGCATAGAGGACTTCCAGTACCAGGAAGTATTCGTCGTATACGTCGGTTGTACGGTCTCGGGGAAGTACGGATGGAGTGCCCCCATGCGATAGTGGAAAAAGCCCAACGGGGGGTTGTTGATCACATTACCCGAGACAACAAAGTCATTTGGGTTCTGCATCTTTCGGGTGACGAGGTTGGCAATCGCATTATCATCGATCCAGAGCTGGATAGAAATGGCTCAGCAATTATCATAGATTGGAATATCACTCAGCGAAGATGTGAGATAGAGTGAACATACAATGTCATCATCAATCTTCACGTAATGCTTCCCACGTTCCAGATGCCTCCAAGCCTTCCAATAATTAGGCGTTGAGAGTGTCTCTTCTGGTATAACTTTCTTATGGCGGGCGGGATTCGTAGCAATAATTTCATCTAGGTATCGGAGATCGTTCTCCTTGTTGGTATTTACGATCCAAAGGATCTCATCCAGCCAACCTCCATGGTCCACCATATTGCGCTGCAAGGCGTGGCCAAGTAAGATACAACCCTGAAGTGGAGTTTGGCCGAGTACTTACCTCCAAGTAGCATCTTAAGATGCTTGCTCGACTCTTTCGACCGTAAAAGACAAGTCCGCTCACGGTGATATTGTCAGGCTTAGTGAGCAAATTTGGCGTGCCAAGGTTAGTCAAACTTGTACCGTCGCTGTCATTGTTAGTGTGCCAGTGTTCTGTCGCTAGGCGCGAAGATAGCTCTGATTGAACCAGAAGACTGCTTAAGATAACTAAGGAAACAATAACAAGGGTAACTTGTACCACCTTGTGACGACGATACGACTGCCAAGGAAAAGAAAAGGGTACTTTGTAATTCATGGCGAAGAGACGAAAAGAGTGAGTG